TGCCGTCAAAGGGCTTCAAAGAGCTGTACTCTTAAAAGCGAGCCAGGGCAAACTCTCGAGCCCCAATACATTGCAAAGCTGCGTTTGAAAGCCACAGGAAGCTAAAGTGAAGGAAATAACTGCTTAAGAACAGAGAGCTGGAGATTTCTAACGTAATTCTTTTGCTAATGTGAACGATTTCAATATTCAAAGTGCCTAAATCCGCTTGTAAAGAAGATGCCAAACTCTTCACGCACTCACCCCCCTTTCTCCTGCGGGCGGTGGCGGGGGATGGTGGTGAGTGTGTTTGACTTCTTTGCGGACCCTCAGGGACGAAGGCCGGGGTGCTGAGAAGGGAGCAAGGAGGACAGGAAGAGGTTTTCTCCAAGATCGCAGTAATAAAGCACTAATCACCGCTCCTGGAAGAAATATGATAAAAATCAAGTGCTTAGGTTAAAGTTGATCCAAATTGTTGAAGCGTGACCAATGAGCTAAAATCCTGGATAATGACTGCGCGCCCTGACAATCCCCTTCTCCTCTTTGCCCACTCGGGCTCACAGCTCAGCACAGCCCCCGTGCTCCTGTCTCCCACGTAACCCCTTGCTCAAAACTTTCTTGCAGATGATCCAAGCAATACAAGTACTAAGGTTCCACCTTTTGGAATTAGAAAAGGTAAGAACCACCGAGGTGGGCTGGGGGCACACCATTCCCTCCCTGTCCTCCCCCTCTCCCTCCCTCCCTTTTGGGGCTGACTTGTAAACATGGTCAGAGGAGATAGGGGAAACACAGTATGACACTGTAACCTCTGCCATCAGAGCATGTGACAACAGACAGGCATGTCCAGCCCAGCCCGCTTTTTTTTTTTTGGGGGGGGGGGTGCGTGTGTGTTGTTTCAGTATTTAATATTACTAAAGCCCTTCCATCCTTCTCACCTCTTTCCTCAGTAAAAGCTCTTTTCCCCAGTCGGAAATAATATGTTTTACAAAAAGAAATTAAAGCACTCCTGCGCCTCTCCAGCTCTGGCAGGCACATTAACCCCAAGCAAGCACTAAATGTTTGGAAGACGCAGGGGGCCCCTGCGCGGAGTGGGGAGGGGGCTGTGCCTTGGGACGAGAACGGCTCTTCCCACAGCCTCAGCAAGTAACTTCGTTTTACTGCTCCTGGCCATTTAGATTTTTTTTTAGTCCCCGTTAAAAGTGATCCCGTCCTGAGTGACTAGGTGTACCTGTCTCGGTTGTGTATGCTCCAGAGATACCGCCTGGGTCCAGCTCCCCGTGTTCCGATGTTATCATCAAATCCGATTTTCTTCTGCATACCAGTCCGAGCCCATTCTCTCTCTCTCTCTCTCTCTCTCTAACTTGTTGCTGCGGCAAGTCTCTAGAGAATAATATGTGCTGCAACAATTTCTCTATTGTTTCCTTGCCTTCAACTATTGTCCCCCTTAATTAGAGTTACTTGTGGAGTAGATCAGAGGGTTGTTCTTGCTACCAAAAAAAAATAATATTGCAATACGATATTTTGTCATTTTGATACTATTATTCTTGTCACTGTTTTCAGGTTCATGAATTGTGTGATAACTTCTGCCATCGGTACATTAGTTGTTTGAAAGGAAAAATGCCAATAGACCTCGTTATTGATGAAAGGGATGGCAGCTCCAAATCAGACCATGAAGAACTCTCAGGATCTTCCACAAACTTAGCCGATCATGTAAGTCCTTCTGTTTTCTTTATGTCACTTTTTAAGACTTTAACCTGTTTAGAGGACCTGTCCCTAATTTCCTTGCTTTGCTGGTGTTGTCTATTAGTATTATTACTACTTTAACCTCTTGCAAGCTCAGATCCAATCTTCACACTTTCCTCTCACTTTGTAAAGTTGTAGAAATGCAAAAGGTTACTTTTATTTCCATCTGTAAAACGTCGTGTTTGCAATGGTTTGTAAAGTTTCCTGGTCTGGGTGTTGTGAAGAGCTAGCAAACTGTCGATTTCATGTGGGAATGGTGCTTTTCCCTCTTCTTTGCCAACATTGTAATCCATGTAGCAATGTAAGGAAACAGAGACAAGAAAGTTAGGAAGAAAGTTTGCTGATTTGCTCCCCCCTCCCCTCTCGTGGGGATGACAAGTGATGAGAATTATTGGCAATACTACTCTGCATTAAAAAAAGGGGGGGTTAGCACATAAGAGTTTCCAATGCTTTTGCTTTATAGCAACTTATTGTCAGAATATGGACTTATTGCCAAACGCCTGAAGCATCTTCATAATAAAAGACAGTAACCTTGATGAAGCAATTATTAACAATGTATTACAGAAAGCTGGAGAGAATGATGATTGAGTAACTGTAGGTTAGTGGTTGATTTTAACACTTTAGGAGTTGGTTAATTAGTGTAATGTGTGTAGGACTGAACGTTGGTGTGCATGGTGAGGAGAGTGCCTTTGTTTTTCTGGGTTTTAGAGCGGCTCTTGTGATCCTTCAAAAGATGTAGATGCAGAGAGACTTCGGGAAGTGAAGGGAAAGATTGCAGCTGGTACCACAGAAAAGGGAAGGAATAGCTCTGGTTAAAAAGAGTGGGTGTGAACTCCAGTTTATTTATAGGAACGCATCCCTGGGGGGCAAAGGGGTTTACACAGTTTTAGATTCAATTGAACTCATAATCTAAATAATACAGTCTAATATTTTAGTGGTTGAAATATTAATTTAACACCCGGTGTGAAGTTAACCATGCTTTCTGCACAGGCGCCTGCCTGTATTTCCCAGAGTATTAAGAAGAGTAGCTGCACGCATGAGCTTTCTAGGAGCTTTTGTTTCCTTTGAAAACATGTTGTTTGTGTGTGTATTTGATAATTGCATTAGACCTGGACTGAAGCTGAATTGGGACATAAAATAATAATAATAAATTCTTCTAAATGTCCTCCCTCTGGCATGGCTTAGTTGTGGGAAATATTTTTGGACCCAAGCCTTAGCTTTCATTTTCTCATTTGTATTCAGTAATCATTGCAGGACAAGGTTTGTGCTATGCTTTACATTTTACATGTATTATTTTGAGAGAAAAAATGTATGCAGAGGTTCCCGAAAGTTTCTTTGCTTATCAGCTATCTCACATGCAGATAATAAACTCCATGAGTCATGACACAATTTCAAAAATATTTGTTTTATGGCATTTTACAACCTTAAATTCATGGACATAAGTATTCTGGGAGAGTACTAGAAAAGAAATAGAAATGAGTGGCAACCTGAAAGATAGGGAGGCTTTGTGTAAAATTTAGAGAAATAGCAAAAAGCCCAAAACATGTTTCTCCAGTACGGTTTCTTTACAAGAGTGTGTTTCAAGTGGAAGTGAAGGAATGAAGCATGCTTATGTTTATATTGAAGAGATTAGATAAACTAGCCTGTTTAGGGTTCTGGCAGATGGCAAATGCTCAAGCCAATTTGCAGTGCTCCATTATAATATTTAAATTCACACACAATGATAGGACAGGGGTGGAGGGGTTAGCATTTTGATAATTTGATAACTATTATCTTCTCTAAGAAGAATCTCCTCTTGCTCATGTGGCCCCAAAAACAAACTAAAATAAATATGACAACCCATTTATCTTGCACCCGTTAGGGTTTACCACTTCATTGGGTATTATAATTTAAAGCCTTTTATTTCCTGGAGATTTGAGCTATAACATTTTTACTTTAGCCCCCTGCTATTTGTTTTGAAAGGAAGCAATAATTTGTGCAACCAGAACACCAACTGGGAAATGAAGAGTTGTATCACATAGTTACATTTTATTCATGCGATTTGGGAAATGTGTCTCCTTATTGGATTTTTTTTTGTATATTAGCTTGTTTTCTTGACAAAACTTTAACAACTCTTTTATAGCTTAGTCAAACTACCATGTTTTATATTTTCACTATACAAGGTTCCATCAGGAAAAAGTCCACTTTTATTCATAGAGAAGGAAAAGCTATAAAAAACTGGCTAATATAAACACGCACATCTATTTAAAAATGAGCTATCATTTCTGAGTGTCTACCTGAAAATGTAGTAGTTCAAGCATGCAAATTTGTCCAATTTGACTCTCCAAGTTTATTTTTTTTCATTTGCTTTGATATGCATATTTAATATGCAGCCTCAGGCTAGATCTCATTTGGTGAAAGTTGATGCAGGGGTGATGATGAGCCACTTCAGAAGGACAGAGACAGCATGTTGTTTCCTCTGTTTTATGTATTGGCCCACTATTCTGATACATGGATCTTCCCCTCATGGTTTTATTTGCACATGAAATACTAGGAGCATTTCAACTGATTGGCTATGAATAATGATTGCCAAAAAGAAGTGAAGGTTAATTTGTTGTGTGCCAAGGTTTCTCTTGTGGAGGTGACAGTTTGTGACAGCTGTATGACACCCCAAAAATCCATACCCCTCTATTCTTATTAAGTGGTGTAAAGCCACCTTGTGTGTGTTTAATGTGAATATGAGAGGTGGTAGTGGTGACAGTGGCAGTGCTGAACTAGGAACTAAAGCAGCTCTCAGCTTTATTCCTTTGCTAGACCTGAGAACAGGCATAAGGGGGAAGTAACAGAAAGAATGGCAGGATTAGCCAATATTTACCGTAAGACTTTAACTGGGGTACTCAAATAGTGCATGCTTCCCCTTTCAAAATCTACTGCTCTACTATTTATATAACTTAATTGGAAACCAAAACTAAACTCAACAAAGGAATGAACTCTTCAGAGATACACCTGTACTGGAAAAAGGAGGCAGCTGTAAGCAGTTGTTCTGTATCTGTTTAGTAATAAATGTGTTTATTGAATTTTATTTTAGTGCGCTATTAGCTGTTATGTAATATAGCTAGTGTAAAGGGTTCAGGGACTTGGTAGATCAAATAGTGCAGTGCTAGCCACAAGAATCTGAAACTTTTGTTATTGCTCTGCTGTGTTTAGTAAATATAACAGCCTATAATTAGTGTTTGAATTTTTAACACCCTTGGTTTTTTTATTGCTCTGAGGTATTAGCTGTAGATGAGAAGAAGGTAATTACAGTTATGCCCTGGCTGAACCAGATCAGTTAGGGGGGGAAAAAAGATAAGAAAAAGAGAAAAGAAACCTTTGCAGCTGCAGTTCAAGTTGAGTTTCCCAGCACAGACAATTTATTATTGTTCAACATAAATATTGTGTGCCCTATCCTGCATTCCGTGTTGAACCTAAAATACCTGTTGAGATTGCTGACAAATCTTTTCTTCTTTTCCTCCTTTCAAGCTATTCAAACCTAAAAAACATAATGCTTATAAAGTTTGGAGATTTTTAAACTTTTTAAAGCATATGGTAACATTCTGTACTTCAGTTATATGTCTTTTGTACCTGGATTCACCTGGTGCCACACAATTATTCCTTTAGTACAAACCTATTTTGAAGCCTAGTAAATCTCCCATAGAAGTGTATGTCTCTCCTTCCACTAGCTTTCATGTGAACAGGATCAGGGCCTCAGTCTTTTTGATATTTGTTTGTGTGTTCTAGGCAATTTGCAACTCAGGGTTAATAATATACAGATCATAATTTACAAAATATAGTTGAAATGGATAAAAATATATACAAATCTCTTTTATAAAAAAAGGCTGTTGACAGATTAGAAATTCAGTGCCTTAGCTGTAGAAGAGAAATATTAGTCTGAATAGTAAACCTTCAAGCTCTCAAATGAGGAGATACTTTTATTTTGTACTTTTGGACATACAGACAATTTACATTTCTTTAATATTTCTTCTTGAAGAATGGTCTATGCAAATTCATAACGTCTTGCAGATAAGAAAAAATAAAAATAGGGTAATACGTATCTGTTCCAGTTCTATAATGAAACCTTTAGGTAAGATTTCACCAAGTAACAAGGACGTAATTTGGGGCCTGATGCTGCAGTCTCCAGGTACATCGCACTTTTGTGGACTTCAGTGGGAGTTTTGTGAAACGCTGGAACAGACCCCAAAGGTGCTCTTTCTGTCTGTAGTGTGTCAGAAGGAAAACTAAGTAGCTAGCTGCAACAATAAGAAGCCAAACTTCTTAGGATGTGGCTTAAGATGTAGGACATTGCGCTAGACCCTATGCTTTCTGAAGGGGCAAGGAACATCAGGAACTTTCCAAGACTGTAGAGAATGTTGTGTATTTCCTCTTTTCGATGAGCCGAGGTACTTTTCAGCCGACAGCTGAAGTAAGTCACAATTTGGAGTCTACAGCTCAAACTTGAGTGTTTTAATTTTAAACTGGGTTCTCTGAACCAATAATGTATTTCACTATCTGTTTGATGCCAGTGGTCTCTCTTTGGTTTGAGCTGTGTATCAGACTAGTTGAAGTGTAGCCACACAGAATGACATGGAAGGACAGTTTGAAAAACCAACAAACCCCTGATTTTCAAGTCTGTTCCTTGCTGACAGGTGGATTACATGTCTGATTTCAATCTTAATTAGAAAATACAAAGCACGCAGCTTTTTCACAACACTGCCACATACTAGGAATGTCAAAAATTCCTCCTGACACTTTCCTCAAATGCAAAATCAAGGAACAAAGATAAAAACTTGTACATATATACACATTGCAATGCCTCGTGTTTTTATTAAATTGTGTAATTCTAGTGCAAAAAAAAAGTATTATTAAATATTAAATTATTAAATATGCATCCAGAAGAAAATAAATGTTAGCAATATCAGGAGTAGGCTTTTTTAGAATACACACATATT